CAGGTAGAAGTGGCAGTGGGTTTTTAAAGTCTCAGACACCCGGATAGCACTGTGTAAATATATGTTTAAATTTATATTGGTGAATGTACAACTTCTTTTTTACTCTCTTTTTCATTCATCAGTAATGGCTACTCTGTTCAAGTTGTTTGCTGCTTTGTTTCTTACTACTGGCAATGAAAAATGAGAGAATCTTAAGATTATATGTATTTTGTAGTGTTGTTGTTTTTTTTAAAATATATTTTATTCATTTGAGGGAGGAAGGGAGAGGGAAGGAGAGAAGCATCAATGATGAGAGAGCTCCGCTGCCGCCAGCACGCCCCCACTAGGGATCAAGCCTGCAACCCAGGCATGTGCCCTGAATGGGAATTGAACCATGACCTCCTGGTTCATAGGTCAACACTCAACCACTGAGCCACACCACTGGGCTATCTTTTGTACTATTGCCTTACCTTGAGATGATATAGAAAATAAAGAATTAGGTAACCAAACTCTGATTAATATTCTTTTACAGTAACAAAATTTTTTTATACTTTTAAGACATACAGTCACAACCATATGTTCTGTAATGAATTTTTGGAGGCAGTGAACCTCATACATGTATTCCTCAGAAATTGACGGAGCACTGGCTATGCCATACCATTTATCATTCAGTGCTTAAGAACATGGGCTTTGGGAACTATCTTTGTTTAGTTCCCTGACTCTACCATTTTTGTTAGTTGTATGATTGAACAATTACTTAAACATTGTGTTGCCGAAACCAGTTTGGCTCAGTGGATAGAGCGTCGGCCTGCGGACTGAAAGGTCCCAGGTTCGATTCCGGTCAAGGGCGTGTACCTGGGTTGCGGGCACATCCCCGGTGGGAGATGTGCAGGAGGCAGCTGATCGATGTTTCTCTCTCATCGATGTTTCTAACTCTCTATCTCTCTCCCTTCCTCTCTGTAAAAAATCAATAAAATATATTAAAAAAACAAAACCAAAAAACCCACATTGTCTTAGCAGTTTTATTTCTAGGGTCAAAGCCCTATGCCTAAGAAGTGTTTGGATTGTTCAGTGTTCTGTTGCTTGCAGTAGCAAAATAATTGGAAGCAATCAAATGTCTTACAATTGTAATGGATAAACTGTGGAATGTGGCAGGTAAACTAAATGAACAAGAGACTCACTCAAGATGAGTGTATATAAAAGAAAAATGTTGAGCAAAATTTTATATGACAGCATACAATTTATCATTTTATGATAGGGATTCTGAAGTACATATGGCAGAATGGTAGGGTCTGACAAAGCAGAATGATAGGATTTCTGATCCTTGTCAAATTTTTATAATTTAATACAAAAACAGTGAGATAGGTGTAATAGAAGAAACTTGAAGTAGGCCTAGGTTTCTCAACCTTTTCAAATTGGGAACTCCTGGTTGCATACCTTAAAAAAATTTTTTTTTTATTGATTTCAGAGAAGGGAGATGGAGAGAGAGATAGAAACATCAATGATGAGAGAGAATCATTGATCGGCTTCCTCCTGCACGCCCCACCCTGGGGATCGAGATTCCTATATGCATTCCAACCGGTGATGGAACCTTCAACCTAGGTATGTGCCCTGACTGGAATCGAACCAGGATCTACTGATTCATGGGTCAGTGCTCAACCACTGAGCCACACTGGCTGGACTGTACACTCTTTTTTAACATCATGCCAATAATATCTGTGATGAAGAGAATATATCATAGAAGAGAAGATATTTTTAATTCACTGATGCTTTTCAATAAACTTTGAATTTGCTCATCACTGTAGCATCCCTGTATAGTTGAAAAACAGTGAACATGTGACATGTTAATACTTATTTTAAATGTTTTGTATCCTGTAGGTCTTTTGAGTTCCTCTTTGCTAATTTAGCTGTTTACTAGAAGTTTGCACCCACAAATGGGGACTACTGAGTAAGACTTAAAAATACACACACACACACACACACACACACACACACACACAAAATGTTCAAAGGAAGCATTAAGGAATCCACCTATAGGAGAAAAACTATAAGGAATAGCATGGTTGGTACAGGATGGGTGAGGGCATTGCAGACAGAGTAAAAAAAAATCTGCGCTTTAAATGTTCTAGGATAATCTTGTTAATTAGATTTGATTGAAAATAATGAGACTAGGTAATTTTTTATGTCAGGAATTCCAGTTAGCTAATATAAAGCTTTTAAGGGGATCTAACCAATCAAACTTTAAGGAAAAGCTAACTAAATATTGTGGCAACGATTCTTGGCTGTTTTCTGTAATTATGGCTTTCAAACCATTTGTGTTTTTTTTTTGTTTTTTTTACACCACAACCCATAATCAGGAATAATTTACATCGTGACCCAATGTATGCTTAGGTGTATACATCTTAATGAATAGAAGCATGTGTGTAGATCATATAACTTAAACAAATTACTTGTGATAAGCACCTTTGTTTTCTATTCTGATTTTATTTATTTAAGAAGGAAACTGTTTAGTTACTTAATTGGTTTATAGCCCCAGCTTGAGAAACTAGTTAATATAATTCTGTTCTAAGACCAGTTTTGGCACTGTCTTTTACAGTTGGGGTAACATAGGCTGAGAAAATAGACTTATCTCTTTATCAGTGTAATGCATTCTTCACAACAGATACTCTCAATTTTCCTCATCTTCAGGTTTTTTTCTCCTTCAGTACATAATCTTACAAATTATGAAAGTTAAGGCCAGTAAGGCAAGCATAAAATTTGTAATTTTTCTTCCCTTCTGCCTCTGGATATCTATTTGTACTGCACTCAGTCTGGTTTTCTTCCTGTACAGAAGGAAAAGCTTTTTTTTGTTTTGTTGTTAGGCCCTTATTTTCTTTCTTATTTTGCTTTTTTATTTATCCTTTTTTTAGTCTTTCTGCCATTTACTTTAAAAAAAATTGGCTTCCGCCCCTCTCTTTTAAAGCCTTTCATTTGTATTATTTCTCATCTTCTTTTTAAAAAATCATTACTAGGAATATTTTTTCCATTGATTTTTAGAGAGAGTGAAAGTTGGGGTGGGGGCGGGGGAAAGGGAGACACTGATGTGAGAGAAACACACATCAATTGGTTACTTCCCACATGTGGGATTGAACCTGCAACCCAGGTATGTGCCCTTGGCCTGGAATGAACCCTCGACCCTTTGGTTCTTGGGCTGACACTCTAACCACTGAGCAACGCCATCCAGGGCAAGTTACCATCTTCTTTAACTGTTAAATCAAATTATCCTGTTTGTTATGCTTGTGCTTTATCACTTTATTCTTACTTTCTGCCTTGGCAGTCTTTTCCTATTGCTTTTACCAAAATTGTATTATTAAGGTTACTTTTTATACTTGGAGTCCAGGGTAGGACTACTTGGTATTAATGATCTACCTCTCTTTTATTACCCTCTCCCCAATTTTGCTTTTATGATCAGAGAAAGGCAATAAAAATGAATACTTGCTGTGGTTCAAAAGTGAAGCTGAACTGAAATGTACAAAACAGAAAGTAAAAGTAAAAGATTCATAATCCTGTGCTCCAGAGTTAACCATTGTTAATGTGTTTATGTCATGTTTCATGTAAACATACCCGCGTTTTTTATATTTTAAAGATAGATGGGTTTATCCAGTAGATATTTATGTATCTTTTTTAAATTTAATAATAGATTTCTCATATTATTCCAGTACTTATTACTGATTTTTTTTTTTTTTGTATTTTCCTCTGTCACTAGAATGGTAAGTGCCATGAAAGCAGTGCTAATGTCTTGCTCTGTTATATCCTTTTACATAGACTAGTGTCTGGCACAAGTAGATAACCAATGTATATTTGTTCAGTGAATGAAAACCATTTAATGAGCTGAGAATTCTATTTCTCACTGATGTAAAACAAACACAATCACATAATGGTATGTACATTGAACAGTAAAAAAAATCTGATATGCAAATTGCTGTTGCAGCAAATTGGTCAGTGTAATAAAGGGACATGGTGGCTTGTTTAAAATTGGGTAGTCAAATCTTTCTTAAGAGGTAACATTTAAGCTGAGTTCTGAATGACAAGGGGAAACTGGTATTTCAAAGAGAAGAGACAGGTGGTACCAAGGATACAATGCAGGACTTAGTCATTTTTGCCTCATAAGGTTGACTTCATCTCATTTTTTATTGTTAACATATAAAACTCATTTTATTGTTCTGACAATTCTTCAAGAATATTTCATAAGTAAATGTCAGTGCTCTGGAACTGCACTAATACAGCAGTCACTGGCCAAATGTGGCTATTAATATTAAATAAAATGTAAAATTCAGTTCCTTTGTTTCACTAGCCATACTTAAAGTGGCAGGTGACTACCATATTGGACCACACAAATATAGAACATCTCCAATGTGTAGAATGTTCTATTGCACAGGACTGCTTTGGAAAGTCACTAGAATATAAATTACTTGAGCGACTGTATGCTTTGTTCATTACTATGCTCCTAGTGTCTGACACATCATTTGTTAAATGATGAGATAAATAAGTGGATGAATGAATAGAAGGTCAACACATTTCTTCCCAGACAAGGAACAACAAAATGTGCATAAAGTCTGAGCTGAGAAAGAGCTTGTTGTGTTTGAAAAAAGGAAAGAAAACAGGCTAGAACAAAGAGTGATGATTTGAGATCAACATAGAAATTTGGCAACTTGACCATAAGGCAATGTTAAACCTTCTAAATTTTGTTTTAAGTGCAGTGGGAAGTAATAGGAAGTTTTGTAGCACAGCAGTAATGCAGTCTGATTTGGATATCTTTTTTGAGATATTTACTTTACTAGTTTTTTGAGAGTTTAAGAAGGTGGTGTAGGTATGACAGTTTTTAAACCTGGTTATTTATAAAGTAAACCGCTTGAAATTCAGATTATTCATTTATTTATGCTGTCAACACTAGCACCCTTGTTTTTATGTTTGTTTTAATAATTGTTTACTTATAAGCAGGAACTTATTGGCAAGGACTTGTTTATGTTTTTGCTTTCCAGTGAAGGTGGTGTTTTTAAGGCTCATCTCACTTTCCCAAAAGATTATCCCCTCCGGCCTCCTAAAATGAAATTCATTACAGAAATCTGGCATCCAAATGGTAAGTTTATCTATTTGTACTTTTACATTTACAAATATGATGGCCCGTCACTGAAGTTTTCAAGTTCAGTAAGAAAGATACAGTTCTCAATGAAATTGCTTTGGAATTTTTGTACTAAGTTCATTGTATTTGTTATGCACATGGCCATGCGTTAGATTCTTTAGGTGAGAAGGAGCAACAGAGATCATATGGAAAAAATGGTTTTTTTACTTAGTTTTTAGCTCCTTTGAGTCTTACGATGTTCCAAACTAGAGGCAAGTTTGGTGGGTGATACGATGATATTCAGCATTAATAGAACTCTTAAAATTGAAGAGATAATTTCCAAGGCATTAGGTGACTCATTGGCTATTCCAAAAAGCACAAAAGTAATTAAACCTGGATTGTGTAGTTACTTTTTCTCTTCTTAGCTCTTAGACTTTTTAAACTATATTCTTAGTTATAAAACAGGGCATGTCCTACCTATTTCATAAAGCGACTGAGGGCTTCAAATGAGGCGAAATAGTGTATGTTTTAACCTTTGGAAAGCATCCCAGTACTGCTGTTTGTGTAATGGAGACATTGACTTTTTTACCCAAAGATGTGCTACCATTTAAAATCCAGCTTGTGAAAAAATTAATAAATAAAATCCACCTTGTGAACCAAAGGTTAGGCTAGATAAGTTATGTTTATTATACACAGTTTCCTTGAACTTTTGGCCTTGTTTGTATGAGCTTGCAAGGATTTGTTTTCTAAGTATGTTGACTTATCAGTATTTTGTAATCAGCTGTCTTTATTTATTTATTTATTTTCTTTTTTAAATATATTTTATTGATTTTTTACAGAGAGGAAGGGAGAGGGATAGAGAGTTAGAAACATCGATCAACTGCCTCTTGCACACTCCCCACTGGGGATGTGCCCGCAACCAAGGTACATGCCCTTGGCCGGAATTGAACCTGGGACCCTTCAGTCTGCAGGCCGATGCTCTTTCCACTGAGCCAAACCGGTCAGGGCATCAGCTCTCTTTTTAGACTACTACACTAATCTGCCTTTTGTTTCTCCTAGTCAAGGTTCTTTCAATTGCAAGGAAGAAAAACCCTTATTTATTAGTTTTAACAAAATCTGTGGGAGTATGGATTATAGAATAAATTAAGGCATTATTGCATGGATAGGGAGTATATATTAGAACCTAGTGGCTTGCAAAACAAATGGGTCTTCTGAGAGACTAGAACTGGCAAATTGAAAACTGGCAAATTGGGAACCAAGGGAACTACCATACTTCATAGCATCTGAGATAGCAGTGATTACAAAAGGCATATAATTACTTTGGTTTAGAAGGGAGAAAAATATCTAAAATTTATTTGTGGGAAAATGCATTAACAGTAGTCCTACATGAAGTATGGATGCATGAATTAATGAGATTCACCTCTTGTTTCTTCGAAATTTCCTTCATCTCTTCCTGGGCTTTTGGCAGGGTTTCTTGTGCTTCACTTGAATTATTCAATGTGCAATATCAGTCTGTTTGCACCTATTTCTGAAGATGTGACTAAGCTTCTCACTGTTGGCTACACCAGATTAGCTATAGAATTCTAGGCAGAGCCTCTTTAAGCCTTATTTTCTCTATCTGTGAGAATTAAACGAAAGCACATATGTACACAATAAGTGGCACTTTTCTGTTAAGAGGAAAGATAGCAGAGGCCTAGGTAATTTAAGAGGAAAGCTGAGGGAACAAGTGTTTTCTTGTGTGTGTGTGTGTGTGTGTGTGTGTGTGTGTTTCTTCAAGTTGAAAAGATTATTTTTTTTTAACCACAGTGCCCTTATTTAAAAAAAAAAATTTTTGTTGATTTCAAAGAGTAAGGGAGAGGGAGAGAAAGATAGAAACATAAATGATGAGAGAGAATCATAGATAGGTTGTCTTCTGCAGGCCCCCTACTGGGGAGTGAAATAATTAAAACTTAAGAAAGGATACTTGAGGAGGTGAGGGGCAATGATGGCAAGTACAGGAAGAATTAGACAAGGAAAGAGTGAAAAGACATTTTGAAATAGGAATGAGAGGAAAAGCGAGCATCTGAGTATCTGTTAGGCACTGGAGATATAAAGATGATTAATGCATTATGGTCTCTTTCTATAAGGAAATTATGGTCTATATAAGGCAAAGGTGGACGTGTAGACTTAATGGTGAAACTGAAGAATGATAGTGATATGTAGTTATAAAGGTGTATTGGTGGCATAGAAGAGGAAGTTAGAGAATATGAGTTTTTATTTTATTTTTTATTTATGTTTTTAAATATTTTTATTCATTTCAGAGAGGAAGGGAGAGGGAGAGAGAGATAGAAACATCACTGATGAGAGAGAATCATTGATTGGCTGCTTCCTCCACACCCCCCCACTAGGGATCCAGCCTGAAACCTGGGCATGTGCCCTTGACTGGAATTGAACCTAGGACTCTTCAGTCCGCAGACCGAGGCTCTATCTACTGAGCCAAACCAGCTAGGGCTATTTTATTTTTTAGTCTTTATTGTTGAAGGTTACATATGTCCCCATTGACCCCTTATAGCCTGCCCTCACCATAGGCCTCCATCACCCTATTGTCTGTGTCCATGGGTTATGCATATATATGCATATAAGTTCTTTGGTTGATCGCTTCCCACACCCCCTCAACCCCCAACCTTCCCTCTGAGATTTGACTGTCTGTTCCATGCTTCTGTGTCTCTGGATCTGTTTTGTTCATTAGATTCTACATATAAGTGAGATCGTGTGATAATTATCTTTCTCTGACTGGCTTATTTCTCTTAGCATAATACTCTCCAGGTCCCTCCATGCTGTCTCAAAAAGTAAGAGATCCTTCTTTTTTACGGCTGCATAATATTCCAGGACCTGCTGTATTTACTACATGTAAATGCTAGGCAACATCTATCTACATGCTAGGTATCTTGAAGTTTTGCTCAGATGTACAAGATAACTTACATTCAATTGGGTTTTTCAGATGAATCCTAGTTAGTAAAGTCCATGGTCGTCTTAGAAGGTTAACAGGTTCCATTTTGGAAATTAACTTCTGTATATTCATTGTTTTATACAGGTTCTGTGGAAATTAGGACTCGATCTATAATAGATATCTTCTGTATAACCAAGTTATTTCAAATATGTATTTTAAACAGGACTGTTTTTTCTCTAATTTTGCAGTTGATAAAAATGGTGATGTATGCATTTCTATTCTTCATGAGCCTGGTGAAGATAAATATGGTTATGAAAAACCAGAGGAACGTTGGCTTCCCATTCACACCGTGGAAACCATCATGATTAGTGTTATTTCTATGCTGGCAGATCCTAATGGAGACTCACCTGCTAATGTTGATGCTGCGGTAAGGTGGTCATATGCACATATCCCCTCCCCTTTAATGAAACTCAGAAATATAGTATCTTTATATCTGTGTGTGTGTGTGTGTGTGTGTGTGTGTGTGTATGTATCTGTTTATATCCATTTTACAAAAATAAATTACAGATACAACTCAGCTTCATCCCTAAATACTTGAACCTGGATCTTCAAAGAATAAGGACACCATCTTACATGTCATACCTAGGAAAATTTAATATCAAGTTCATATTATTATTCCTGAGTTTTTTGTATTTTCTTTTAAATATGTCTTTATTGATTTCAGAGAGAAGAAGGGAGAGGGAGAGAGAGATAGAAACATCAACCAATAAGAGAAAATCATTGATAGGCTGCCTCTTGCACATGCCCTACTAGGAATTGAAGCCACAATTAGGTATATGCCCTCACTGGGAATCGAACCATGACCTCCTGGTTGATGGGTTGATGCTCAACCACTAAACCTCATCAGTTGGGCTTTTTTTTTTTTGTCTTTAGTATGTTTTTGTTGATTTCAGATTTACAACAAAGCTGGCATTAGTTAATCATTCCTATATCCTTCACCTAGATTTACCAGTAGTGGAGATTTTACTTTTTTTTTTTGCCAAATTATTTGAGAATACTTTACAGATATCCTAACTCTTCATACTTGAATACTTCAGCATATATCTCCTAAGAACAAGGGTATCTTTCCATATAAGCATAGTATGAGTCTATCATTGATACAGTACTATTATTGAATGTACATATACAGTCCATACTCAGATTTCTTCAATAGTGTTCTTATAGCTTTCTTTTTTTGGTTATTACTAACAATCCAGAATCTAGGATCCCACTTATTATTATTATTTTTAAAAATGTATATTTTTATCGATTTCAGAGAGGAAGGGAGAGAGAGATAGAAACATCAATGATGAGAGAGAATCATTGATCGTCTGCCTCCTGCACACCCCACACTGGGGATGGAGCCCACCCAGAACCCATGCATGTATCCTGAAAGGAAATTGAACTGTGACCTCCTGGTTCATAGGTCAACGCTCAACCACTGAGTCATGCAGGCTGGGCCCATATTATATTTTCACATTATATTTTTGTTTTATTAGTCTTTTTTAATAGTCTTAGTTCCTCAATCTTCTGTCCTCCTTTGAAAAGCCTTTTTTTTTTATTCTTATTCTTGGAATTTTATTTGTTACTGTATATGAAAGCCAGAAGATTAAAATCACCTTTTTGGGGGGGGTGTTACTTCAATCATATATAAAAACTTAAGCCCTAGCTCAGTGGTTCTCAACCTTCTGGCCCTTTAAAACAGTTCCTCATGTTGTGACCCCAACCATAAAATTATTTTCGTTGCTACTTCATAACTGTAATGTTGCTACTGTTATGAATCGTAATGCAAATATCTGATATGCAGGATGGTCTTAGGTGACCCCTGTGAAAGGGTCATTCGACAGCCAAAGGGGTCGCGACCCATAGGTTGAGAACCGCTGCAGCTGTTTTGGCTCAATGGATAGAGTGTTGGCCGGCGGACTAGAGAGTCCTGGGTTCGATTCTGGGCAAGGGCATGCACCTTGGTTGCAGGCTCAATCCCTTGTCCTGGTTGTGGCACATACAGGAGGCAACCAATTAATGTGTCTTTCTCACATCAATGTGTGTGTCTCTCTCTTTCTCTCTTCCTCTCTCTCTCTCAACCCCTTTCTTCCCCCATCCTTCCCTTGCACTCTGTCTAAAAATCAATGGAAAAATAGCCTTAGCTGAGGATTAACAAAAAAACAACAACACAACAAAACAACTTAGGTGAGATCTCAGATGCAGAAAAACACTGCATAGATAATCCCTTTTCATATCTATGGCTTTGAAATTTTACATTTAGTAATCAAGTTGAAGTAAAGCCTGGTAGAACACTATTCTATTTTTCTGTTTAGCCAAGTATTCAAACAGTATAAGAGAGAGTGAGGGAGAAGAGATGAAAGCTATTTTTTTAAAAAAATCCTGCCCAGCCCGTGTGGCTTAGTTGTTGAGCCTCGACCTATGAACTGGGAGGTCACGGTTCGATTCCTGGTCAGGGCACACCCCAGTGTGGGGTGTGCAGGAGGCAGCTGATCAATGATTCTCTCTCATCATCTATCTCTCCTTCTCCCTTACTCTCTGAAATCAATAAAAAAATACATTTTTAAAAATCCTATAGAATCATTTTGAGAAGTAATTCCTGTTTCATTCACAGTTGTCAGCTCTTTTTTTTTTTTAATATACTTTAATGATTTTTTACAGAGAGGAAGGGAGAGAGATAGTCAGAAACAGCGATGAGAGAGAGACATCGATCAGCCGCCTCCTGCATATCCCCCACTGGGGATGTGCCCGCAACCCAGGTACATGCCCTTGACTGGAATCGAACCTGGGACCCTTCAGTCCGCAGGCCGATGCTCTATCCACTGAACCAAACCGGTTTTGGCAGTGTCAGCTCTTTTATAAGATTGGAACTGACAAGTTGAGTTTTAATCTTCAAAAAGGAGGAAATAAGAACAAATAAATATTTGACAATGTGAATAGGCAAAATTTTCATAAGTGTAGAAAATGGCCTTTATAGGAAGTTGAAATATACAAACTTGACTTCACAGACTATGCAAAATCTATCCTGTTCTTTTTTGTGAAACCCACTGCTGCTTTGTCTGATTTAACCAGTTGTCTCATATTTAAACCACAGCTATCTTGTGAACAGTTTTGTTTACCTTTCTTATTTGCCTTTTCTGCTTGCATTGCATACCTTTTAATCATATTATTATGTATTTTTTGTTTGTTTTTCTCACCTCTCAATCAGTGAACGATAACTATTTTAAGGAACTCCCATTTTTCTTGGAGATCTCTCTCCTGGATCCCTCCATTCTTTGGATCCAAATTAGGTTGATTCAGCCTGCTGCTTGATTGCTTTCCTTGTATTTTCATTCCTTCACTTGCTGCTCTTCTGTATTGGGTCATCTGTTTCCTGGGTCTCCCCTGCCCCCTTTTTTATTGTTGTTAACTTTTTCTTTTGCTGTTCATCCAAGAGTAATGTTTAAGAAAAGGTGGCTGGGAATTAAGTTCTTACATGTCTGAAAGTGTTTCTGTCCTGACCTTATAATTGATGCTTTGTTTATAGAATTCTAGGGTAGAAAATAAAATTTCTACAGAATTTTTCTTTAGTACTTATTGTTACTAAGGAGAAAGTTGATGCTAGGTTCATTCTTCTGTGTCTATTGGTGCCTTTTCTTTCCTTTTTCTTTCTAGTTCCCTTTAGATCCTTTTCTGGATTTTTGGTCTTCTGAAATTTCACAATATGTAAACTTTTCCATCTCTCTAGTTGATGTATACTTTGAAGACTTCGGCTGTGGGAAATTTACCTTTTTAAATTATTTTGAAATTTTTTTTCAGGTTTGGCATTCTTTCATTTTTGTTGTTGTTAATCTTCACCTGAGGATATTTTCCCCATTGCTTTTCAGAGAGAGTTAGAAAGGGGCAGGGAGAAACATCGATGTAAAAGAGAGACATGGATTGGTTGCCTCCTGTATGTGCCCTCAGTGGGGTCGCAACAACCAAGGTATGTGCCCTTGACTAGAAGTTGAACATGCAGCACTCTGACCACTGAACACTACTGGCCAGGGCGGCATTATTCCCTCTTTTGAACTTGTAGCTATAACCCAGATTGATCCCTTGTAACTTTTTAATCTAAAAATGGTGGCGAACAACACATTTGTAACACCTTAACTAATAAAGAACTAAAAAAAAAAATGGTGCCGATTTTGAATCTTCTGTTGAATTTTTATTATGACAGTATTACTTTTAATTTTAAATGCTTGGTCTTTTCTTCGTTGTTTCCTTTTTCATGAAATCACTCTTTAATGAACTTAATATTAATAGTTCTCTTGGGAGTTCAAATTAGAGATTTTTAAAAGTTAAATTCTGAAGTCTCTTTCTTTGAAGTCAGTTTTTCTTTTGTATTTTGAAGACTTCTTCAGAACTGTAGGTAGGCCTTCTATGTAACTATTCTCCATTCATGATAAGTAATAAATGAGGGTTTAGGAAAGCAGATTGGACGTGTGTGTGTGTGTGTCTGTGTGTGTGTGTACGTGTACGCGTGTGCTTGCGCTCAGGTGCTGATTTTGTTTCCCTCAGAGTGTGTGAGTAGCAAGCCAGATACTAAACTAAGAGTAAGGATTGGAGGAGGAGGGGTGTCATTTAAATTCCTAAATGAAGCATCTCTAATTTTAGTACTCTTCAGTGCAGCATATTTATATAAAATATATATATCATTATTTTAGGAAGGTATTAGAATTTTGCACATAGGTGGGAGGAATGCCAAACTGTTGAGTTATACAGACTTCTATTTCTTTATTTTCAGCCCTACTTCTTACTAATTCTTCTCACGTTTACCATTTTCAAGCTTTACCTTCGTTAGAGTTCTGTTTAATAGCTTCTTTCCCTCTTTTGCTCTGGTTCTATTGAAACATTTCTAGACTGTTACTTTTTCTTCTTCATATTTCATTACTCTTTGATCTTCTGGTCTTTCATCAAAATCCCTCCCCTCTCCCCCCGTTATTAGATAACTTCCTGTCATTTTCTTTGATAATGAAAAAATTCCCATATGATATTTTCTCTCAGGAAAGCAAACAGAGAAAAACATATGCTTTTTGCCCTACTGAATTCATAGGTTCTCCATTTATAGAAAATGCAGAAGATAATATCACCTATCAGTTTATCCAAGTTTATGCTATACTGGATGAAACAAATGGTGGTTGTATTAGCTAGCTCCTGCTTTGGAACCATCATCTACCAATCTATCTTTTACTGGGCAAGTCACCCTTGCCCAGTCTTGTCTCAGCCATCAGAGAATGCTGGTCATATTATATCGTCTCTAAACTCCTTGCCATCCCCCCTGCCATTGACTTGAGTCCTTTTGACTTATTACCTACATTGTTGTAATAGCTTTCTATCTGATCCCTGCTCTTAGTCTTTAGAGAGAGAGGAAAGGAGAGGGTAACATCTATGTGAGATTGCCTCCTGCACACACCCTCCTGGGGATTGGGGATCAAGCCGAAACTGGGGCATGTGCCCTGGCTGGGAATCAGACCAGCAACCTTTTGGTGCTCGGGATGACACCCAACCAACTGAGCCACACTGGCCAGGGCAGTCTTTTTTTTAACCCTCAACCTGAGAATATGTTTTCATTAATTTTTAGAGAGGGAGGGAGGGAGCGGGGAGACACATGGAGGGGGAGAGAGAGAAACAGAAACATCGATTGGTTGCCTCTTTTAAGAACCCCAACCAGGACTAGAATCCACAATCATTTGGTGTACAGGACAACGCTCCAACTGAGCAACTGGCCAGGACCCTGCTTGTACTCTAAATTCTCTCTGGTATTTTTAGGTGTCTTCCCCACCCCCCCATCCCCCTTTGCCTAGAATTGCTCTTTTCTTCCTTTTACTTAAAGTGATGAGGAAATTGCAGACTTTATAACATTTTATTCATAAATACTTAAGTAATATATCTCAGTTTCTGGACATGTTAGCATTATAATTTAGCTCATTTTATTGTAATTATTGGATTTCGGTGGTGCCTTCCTTGCTTTGAGGGTAAAATTATTTTTTCTAATGTGTTCCTCCACAAGGGCAGTGATTGAAGAGGTCTATGGTTTTCGCTGTTTGTAAATGGATGTTATTTTGTAAAAAGGTGGGAAAAAAAGCCTGGGCATTTTTGTGGGAATTTCCTACTACGTATTTACATGCTAGATAAATCAGCTCTGTTTGTGTGTGAAACTGTGCCAGTGCTGCTTCGTGTTCCTTTTTCATGTGTCTGGCAGTGATAGTGATACTGTTTCATTCTTCTCCACCGTCGCCCCCCCCATGAAGTAGTGCTCAGTATCATCTCAATGTGACGTACTCCACCTCTCTACTGGATATAGGAGAGTTTTGTGTCTTTTTTACTTTCTGGTTGCTTCCGTCAGGGAGAGTCGGTAATCCTTCAGATAGCTTGAATATCTTATTTATAAGTTATACTTTTCTTATCAATATAATATAAAACTGTTAATGATCTTTCCCTTTTTAAGAGAATTTTGCTTATAGTGGTGATTTGCATGGGGGGTTTCTACTCTTTTATCCCAGCAGAGTGCCTTGCAGAAGTATTTTTTGACTCCTTTTCTATCTTATCAGCTTACATATTGTCAAAGCATTACATTCAAAGTAAAATTAGTATTAGAAATTATAAGAGGAATTGATAAAGTCAGTTGATCTCACTTCTGTACCTACAGAAAGAATGGAGGGAAGACAGAAATGGAGAATTCAAAAGAAAAGTTGCCCGCTGTGTAAGAAAAAGCCAAGAGACTGCTTTTGAGTGACATTTATTCAATAGCTGTAATTTTACTTATTTCAGGGTAAGTTCATTTTAAAAATCATATTATTACTTTGCCTTTTTAATAAATGTTGTATATGTTTTGGGAAATTATGTGATTTAGTTACTTGAATTGCATTTTTCATTGGCTTCAAGTTTCTAGTGGTTAATATCCAGTAGTTTGCTGTTTCTCAACAGAAACAGTGTATAACTTACTTGCTTTTTCTTTTAGTAGGCCCAGCTGTTTTCAAGTAGGTATACCAAACTAGTTAGTATGGTAGCAGTTTATTTTTTTTCAGAAACTAGAGATGGTAAAATTTCCAATGATAAAGTGCTTATTTCAAGTTTCTTCCATTTTACCATTGCTTTTTTTTGTAATTTTATCAGTTTGTATTCCCAAACAATATTGGATGTCTTGAATTGTATATATGGAATTATAATGTATGCTTTTTTTATGACTTATTATTCAACTAGAGGCCCGGTGCACAAAAATTTGTGCACTTGGGGGGAAGGGAGGGTCCCTCAGCCTGGCCTGTGCCCTCTCGCAGTCTGGGACCCCTCAGGAAAAAACGCCCTGCTGGCTTAGGCCTGTTCCCGGGTGGCAGAGGGCAGGCCCAGTCCCTAGGTGCAGCCTCTGGTCAGGCTCAGAGCAGGGCCGATTGGGGAGTTGGGGCGCCGCCCCCTGTCATGCACAGAGCAGGGCGGATCGGGAGGTTGCGATGCCACCCCCAGTCACGCTCAGAATAGGGCCGATTGGGGGGTTGGGGCACTGCCCCATCAC